GATTAGTTTATTTAGTAGTATGTAATTTTTATAAGCTATTTACAGGCTTATAATAGTGATTATTAGGATAGGCAAATTTCTTTTTTCTCTTTTTCTCGATATCTTCTTACCCCTTTTTTTTTCTTGTTTGTATTTTTTATTGTACTCTCTTTTACCTTTGTTTTCCTTTTTCTTTTGTGTTTGTGCTTTCGTTAATTTGGCTCTTTTGATTAAGTATGCAGCTGCTAGGGCTAAGAATCAGAGAGTTTATATTCTCAGTAAGTTGAGAATCCAATGTGAAGCCAATTGCTACTAGGTGGGTCATTTTTTGAGCTTAGCTTGAGTTAATCTTTACTTATGTGGAATATAGTATAGAAAATTGTATCTCCCTGTTAATATAAGTTCTGGTACTTCCCAATAAAAAGTAATAGGCAGGACCGCCAAATTAAAAAAAAATAAAAGGCTAATGAGAATATATGAGGTTCTTCTTATAAGTTTTATAATTATATATTTTAGTTCTAAACTTTTATTAAACTTGATGAGAGTTTGCTACTTTTGTTTTAAGAATCTTTTTAATTTAGATGCTAAATATTTTGAAAAGTTTACTAAAAAAGAAGAGAAACTTAATCCCAAAAAAAAACCACCAAAAAATACTCACTTTTTGGTGTATTATATTTGACTTAAACTTCATTAACAACAATTTACTTTATATAAGATCAAGAATAGTATTTGCTTAATTGTTTTTCTATATGTTTTTACTATAGTTTAGTTTATTATTGTTGACTAAAAGATTGTTGAAAAGAGTTTTTTTGTAATTTTTTTTGTTGAGCTTGAATTAATAAATAAATTATTTTTAAAAATAACAAATTTATTAGTAAACAATAATTTAAATAAAATATTTTATATTTTAAAATCTTTTTTTTAAATCTTAATTCTAACTCTAAATACTAACTAATATAAAAACTTTTGTATATGGATCTAATAACTACATATTGTTTATAGTTGTTAGGGGCAATTATTTTATATTACCTGTAGTAAAAATTTTTGTATTAAAAATTTTATATACAAACTTATAAAAACTTAAAAAAATATTCAAATCATATAATACAGTAGATATAAAACACCATCGATGCGTTTTATAATTACTGCAGTAATAGTATTACAATTTAAAAAATAAATAAAACTTTGATAAGCATATTTTAAAAAGATACACTATAAAAATTTTTTATAAACTTGGCTCAAATTAAATTATATAAAAAACACCCAACGCTAATTAGAAGATCTATTTTTAATCTTGCTAAAAAAAATTTCGCTATTAGATAAGTATTAGGTTTTGCTATTAAGTTGTGTTAAAAAAAGTGTTAATAGTACCAAAATTTCTCAAGAAAAACTTTTTGTTAGTGCACAGAATGTGATTTCATAAATAAAATGTTGAGTTATATGCGATTTTTTGAATTGTTTTTGATTTTTTGCGTCACACCTGATCTTGAAATCTGATTGGCCAGTGAAATTTTTTAGGTTGGGAGTTAATTCAGACAACGAAATTTTATTGGTTCAAATCGAGAAGAATTTTTATTGGACATATTTAAAAGAAGTGATAAAATTCGAAATAACGAAAATTTCTTTAATGGCATCAACGAATTCACAAAATAATAATGGTAATGAAACATCATCGGAACGTATTAAAGTAGAAAATATTAATGAATATTTAGGAGATTTTCTTCAAACATCACAACCAACATATGATCCAAAAATAATTGAAAAAAATCCTTATACATTTGCCAACAAGACTTCAGATACATCTACAGCAAAAAATTCCAAAAGTACAACATTTTTCGATATTTTTAAATCACCAATTCATCTTACAGATCTTTTTAGTCCCAGTTCTATAACACAAGATAGTTCATTAAGCGAGCAAGAAAAATTAAAACAACAACGTATTGCAACACAAGCAAAGATTAAAGAAATAGGACAAGATTTTTGGGATAGAAAAAAAGAGATTTACGATGCTACATTAATTAATTGTTCAGAAGTTCATACAGAATTACAAGATTGTTTTAAAAATGGAAAACTTTGGGATAGACTTACACTTTGTATTAATATGAGAGATAAATTTTGGAATTGTATGGAACAACAAAAGGTTTGCATCCAGTAAAATTAGTCAAGAAATCCAAATTTAAATCATATATATAAATTCTAAAAAGATCATTATGATCGATGGTCATTATAGAAATTTTTATCTGATATGGGATACGCGTCGCCATTAAAAACAGCAGCAGAAAATGAGGAAATTTTACATAAAGCCGATATTCATTATCAACAAATGAGCGAGAAAGATAAGGCCACTTGATGAAGTGTATTATAAAGATAAAGAAAGATAAACCACGAATTACGAATTACAATATGTAACAAATATAAAATGGTATTAACATTTTCAGTTTATCAATACG